ATATTTAAAAATTATTTATTCATTGATTCAATTAATAAATGTCCATTGAATGCTTTCTTTAGGCCAGGTACTGTTTCAAGCACTAAAAAAAGAAAAGGAAACAAAACCATTTGCCATCAAAGATAAAAAGAAGAAACGGAAAAATGCTAACTGCCCATCAATTTGTATATAGGTACAGAAAATGTATATATACAGCATGGAATACTATTCACCTATAAAATAATGAAATTCTAATATTTGCAAGAATATGAATGGTACTCGAAATCATTATGTTAAGGAAAATAATTGAGACACAGAAAGTCAAGTACATCTCTTGTGTGTGGAACATAGAAGAGTTGATTTCATAGAATTTGAGGGTAGAAAAGAGAAAAGACTGGGTAAATGTTCATCAGGGAGTATTAAGTTACAGCTTGATAGGAGTAAGAAGTTCTGATATGCTATTGCAAAGTAGAATGACAATGAAAAATAATGATGTATATTTCACAAATTAGAAGAAAAGACTTTGAATTTTTGTATCATAAATTATCAATGTTTGAAGGCATAAATATTTTACCCTAATTTGAGCATTGCAGTATATACATGTATTGAAACATCACATAGTATACCATAAATAAGCACAATTTTTATCTTTATGTAAAAGTATAAAAATAATAAAGTTATAACAAGTTTAACTTGCTCTGAAATAAGTATTTTTGTTATGAAAGGGAATTAGTCATTCCATATTATATACATATATCGAAATATTATGTTGTTTGCCATAATTGTAAATAATTATTGCTTGTCAGTTAAAGTACAATTAAGAATAAATATATATATATTTAAATGAACTTTAAATATTCTTGTTCTTAGTTGTTTACTTTCCAGAAATGAGTTCTATTATATTTCTATGTCAAGAGCAATTTTAAAGTCAAGTTTATGAAGGAACAAATTTGAAATTGAGTGGAACTTCCAGTAGATTTAAAGCTATAGAAATTTGGGGCTATTAAATTATAATGCAATTTTAAATATCAGATATGATGGCACACTAAAAGAAATTCACATTTCTGCTTCCTTTTAGAATGTTTGTAGATGAATCTAGGAATATGTATTGAATTTAGTTACTGATCTTGACTCGTGAGGTTTTATAGTTTGCATTACAAGATAACATTCTGAGAAAGAAATCCTGAATATTTTTTGAATTTTAATATACAATTTATTCACTGTATAACAAATTGATAAGACACAAAAGGGGACTTGGGTCTCTTAGCTGCCTTACATGATATGAATTAATTAAAAGAATTTGGACTAGGTTTTGTTTTTAATTTGATTTTTAATGATTTACCTATCAGTCTGATGCTTTTTTCTGTCTTGAAAGGCCATGTTCTCACTGTTACTATGGTAGACGTTTTTTAATCCCCTCAAGTTCTTTATACAGATGATTCATTAGTGAGTTTTGAAACTGGGTCACCAAGAACTCTTTGGTTTATTAACTTTGTTGCATATCTGACACATAAAATAAATATAAAGCTTAAAATTTGAAAATCCTCTCTCTGAGCAAAAGAGTTAATTTACTTTTTGAAGAGTCT